TATATATATTATATATATTATTATATATATATATATATATATATATATATATATATATACACATTAGTGCTTGGCAGGCAATATGTGATCATGGATTCTTACGTTAATCATGTTATCAGCTGATCCACTGAACAGTCTGTTACCATAAACGCAGAGTGCCAACACGATGCCAGTGTGTCGCTCCAGTGTCTTGATGCATTTGTATGTAGTACTTGTGTCCCACACCTGTGACAGCACAGAGGCAAAAACATACACTAAAGGTTGCATAAGCAACTCTACAACGTCTGCACATAATAAATGTAAGGGGTAGCGTGTGGAGCGGATTTAGACATGCAATTTCCTCAACAATCTATTGCCCTTTGAAACACTTGTTACTAATCATCTACCCTCAACCAGAGAGACCGGGTACAAGGTGGCGTTGCGCAAAAGATGCGTTGTTCCCCGACCGCCGAGAGCGGTTAAGCCGCGCACTTCCGCGGGACTGGGCGCACGCGACCGCGGTGTGTTGTATATAGCATCTCGCGCTGTCCGCTATACGAATTTGCGCGCCGAAGGAGGGCGGGCGCGCGAATCCGTATAGCGGGAAGCGTAACATCGCGCAGTTTTCGTCACACACCGGCTCGGCTATGGCGGCCTTGGGTGGGGGCATTTGCTGCTGCTGCTGCAGAGCCGCGCTGCGCGGCAGGGGCGAGTTTTGGTTGCTGCTGCTGCTTTGCGAGTATCTACTTAGCTACGTGTAAAAACTGGCACGGCCACGCCACCACGTGCTCGCAGTATTCGCCCGCCACGTTAGCGCATGTGCTCGCATGACGTGCCGTCGCCATGGGCAGCGCGAGGTCAATAGGTTGGTAAAACCTCGCACATACGCAGTCAGGCGCCGGCACGGCGTCAGCACTTTCGGAGATAGCATCTAGGCCCCGCCACCCCACGTGGAGCACCGTACGACACTTCGTAAAAAGCTCTGTGATAGACATAACACTATACTCGGCAGTAGCGCCTGTCATCGCGTATCGGCCAATGAGCGAGCGCGTCATCGCTGATTGACAGCATTTCTGGAATTTTCTTGTAGGAGCCACTACGTCTTAGCCATGAGGCGCGCCACTCCCAAAAAGGTTTAGGGACCGTTTGGAGATGGCCTCAAGCCGTCCATCCCGAAATGTCGGTTGGATTGCGCCCAGTTTTCTCGGAGTGCATTTTCAGACCCCTGTCTAAGGTGTCTGTCTAAGTGGACAAAAAGGGGGCGGCGTATTCGCTGTTGGGGCGCGGCCTTGCCGCGAGCTGTGCGCTGCGCGCAAAAACCGGGGCCGCAAGTCCGTCTAGCAGTGATTGTTCTTTGCCTGGCATGTACAGGCAATTAATCTAATCGAATAAAACCGGAACATAAGCAGCAACTCCTTACTCGGTAGCGCCACCTATAGGAGAGAATGAGTGTCAACTCATTACTCGGTAGCGCCATCTACAGGAGAGAATGAGTGTCAACTCATTACTTGGTAGCACCATCTAGACACGAGGTCGCCCCCCCCCCCCGCAACAAGCTCTAACCTTGATTGTGTTATCAGATGATCCACTAAAGAGGTAGTCACCATGTGTGCAGAGGCACCAGACAGGGCCCATATGGCCGACAAAGGTGCCCTTGCACTTATTGATGCCCTGCAGTGGGTCATACATGCTGTACTGCGTCTGCGCAACGCTGCTCCTTAAAGTTTCCAGTTCCGTCTGCAGCAAAGACAATGTGGCCGTCACATCATCGTTAGCACACGGGATTGTATTACATTGTGACGTTTAATTGCGTGTCGTGTTGCATTGTACTGCATTGCATTGTTGTGCTATGCTATGCTGTTGTGTTGTGTGGTGTTGTGTTGTGTTGTGTTGTGTTGTGTTGTGTTGTGTTGTGTTGTGTTGTGCTGCACTGCATTGCGACAGAGCTCCCTCAAAGAAGAAAAGGTGATTATCACATCATTAGCACAGTGCTAAATCTATGCCTCGTCTTTTTTAATTGGGTTGTGTTGTGTTGTATTGTGTTGTGTTGTGTTGTGTTATCCTGTGTTGAGTTGTGTTGCATTGTTTTATGTTGCATTTCGTTATGTTAGTTCTTCAACATTAATAAACTACTGCATGGTCAGTTTGGAACACGGCCGAGAAAACTAGATCTTGCAACATTAGTCATATATATTCAATGATATTCGATTATTCACATTAAACATGTTAAATACGTGAAAAATCTTGACGTAATAAATAAAATAGATTTTGGTGCACAAGCTTGATCACTCAAACTTATCTGTCACAAAAACAGATTTTTTGGGGTGAAAGTTAGTATGAAAAGGTGTATGACATGCTAGGCAACTAAAACCATACTGCTTACCATGAGTAGATCACAATCTCTTCTTGTCATGTCCAACTCACCTGCTGTCTTCGCTACAATCTGGTCTGAAAGAGGCCAGAATACTGGAATTAATGGCTAGAAAAAATCCAAAACCATCACTGTAGCCAATGATATTGCAAGAAAAAACACAAAAATCAAGGGATTAACAAAGAATGTGCTTCCTGACAAAATCGTATGTATAGAAACACCACATGCGGTTTTCATAAGAATGCAATATTAAATACAGGTGAACATGTGAAATTTAAGACTAGCTATAACCACTCAAAGCAAAAAAAACATAAATGCAGAAATTCTCATGTTAAAGATGTATATAACTAGCCACGGGTGTTTGAAGAAAAAAAAAATTCAGCTGCATAGCTGCTCGTAACACAGCAAGAACAACAAGCATACTCAGTGGTGCATTGTCTATATAACTTACAAGGACCTGCAAAAATACCATCTTTGGATTCTCGAACTTAATTTAGAAGGAAAGTACCTGATTTGTTTATGAGCAAAACTAATCTCATGGAGCCTTGACAGGATGTCATGGAACTGTCACGTGACAATACATGAGTGCCCTGATTGGTGCATTACATTGCACAGTATTGTCACAGGACCAAGTGCACACAAATAGATACACAGGTTGGCAAGAGGAGTGTTCATGTGAAAGCTTTGTTGATTTATCTCACTCATCTACTGAAGCTCATCTACTAAAATCTATCTACTAATAGTCCCTCTACTGGAGCTCAACTACTGAAGTACCTCTACAAAAGTTTCCTCTACTGAAGCCTATGTAGTAAAGCCTATCTACTGAAACCAATCTAGTAAAGCCCATCTACTGAAGCCCATCTACTGAAGTCCATCTTTTAAAGCCCATCTAGTGAAGCCCATCTACTAAAGCCCATCTAGTAAAGCCCATCTACTGAAGCCTATCTAGTAAAGCCCAACTACTGAAGCCTATCTCGTAAAGCCCATCTACTCAAGCCTATCTAGTAAAGCCCATCTACTGAAGCCTATCTACTGAAGCCTATCTAGTAAAGCCTATCTAGTAAAGCCCATCTACTGAAGCCTATCTACTGAAGCCTATCTAGTAAAGCCTATCTAGTAAAGCCCATCTACTGAAGCCTATCTAGTAAAGCCCAACTACTGAAGCCTATCTAGTAAAGTCCATCTAGTAAAGCCCATCTACTGAAGTCCATCTTTTAAAGCCTATCTAGTAAAGCCCATCTACTGAAGCCTATATAATAAAGCCCAACTACTGAAGCCCAACTACTCAAGCCTATCTAGTAAAGCCAAACTACTGAAGCCTATATAGTAAAGCCCATCTACTGAACCCTATCTAGTAAAGCCCAACTTCTGAAGCCTATCTAGTAAAGCCCAACTACTGAAGCCCATCTACTGAAGCCTATCTAGTAAAGCCCAACTACTGAAGCCTATCTAGTAAAGCCCAACTACTGAAGCCCTTCTACTGAAGCCTATTTAGTAAAGCCCAACTACTGAAGCATATCTAGTAAAGCCTGGCACCTGACTTGACATCGAGCATCTCAACTCGCTCGGACACCTTGCCCAGCATCGAGCGCAGGAAGCTGATCTCCTGGTCCTTCTGCTGCATCGAGGCCTGCATCTCGTTAAGCCGCTCCTCCGTGCGCTGCATGAACTCCTTCAGCGGCTCGAAACGACACGACGTGTCGAGGTGCGTCTCCAGCTCCTCCCCCGTGCCACAAAACCCACACCTGCAAGCACACAGCACAGGTCAGGCCCGCCAACCACACACACCTACAAGCACACCACACAGGTCAGTCCCGCCCACCACACGCACCTACAAGCACACCACACAGGTCAGGCCCGCCCACCGCACGCACCTACAAGCACACCACACAGGTCAGGCCTACCCACCACACACACCTACAAGCACACCACACAGGTCAGGCCCGCCCACCACACGCACCTACAAGCACACCACACAGGTCAGGCCCGCCCACCACACACACCTACAAGCACACCACACAGGTCAGGCCCACCCACCACACACACCTACAAGCACACCACACAGGTCAGGCCCACCCACCACACACACCTACAAGCACACCACACAGGTCAGGCCCGCCCACCACACACACCTACAAGCACATCGCAGAGGTAAGCCCCATCTCACATATTCGTTACAAATAGACAAGCTAGCAGCGAAACATGTTAGATCTGATCGTAGTGAGCAAAGGTGCATATAAATAAATCACAAAATGTTCTCAGTAGGCCAGAAATGTACAGCGAAGTAATCAATTTTGAAAAACTCAAGTGAGAACTTGAGTTAAAAACTGAAGATTTGAACTGAAAATCAGCTGAAAGAAAGCTGAAAACCAGTGAACATCAATACTGAGATACTGAGATCATCAAAAATTCAACTGTTTCTTCAATGCCGACGAGCTCACAGGCTGGATAACTCGAAAAGTTTATTCAGTTTAAATTGTGAAATAATCACTACGAGTGTGCAGATTCTTCTACCACTGCCCCCCACTCAGGACATGGCATATTTATGACCCGGTGACGAGTGGTAGGCCGCAGTGCTAGGCAGACTGCAGCAGATGGGATGGTGAGTGTCTGAGAACACTTACCCGTACTTAACGTGAGGACACGACAGATTCTCACAGTGCTTCATGTGATCGTCGAGATCCATCGCCCGCACCGGCGCACATGTCGGGTTGTTCGGACACTGAATGACCCGAAACCCGCATCCATCTTCGTGCTCCCTACAGATGAAACACGGAGCGGGATGCGAGTGAGCAAGGCAACATGGGGGCAATATTACAGAATCAATGGATAACGTGAGGATAAGTGACTTATATCACCTCATGTATAAACATCATATTCAGGGTTTCTTCGGAGGGAAAATTAGACAACGGAGGTAATGGCCAGTTTGGGGAAAAAACGCGCATGATGGATTCAAAGGCGTGCAGTAGGCACGAATGTGGATTCTGCAGGCAGACGCCGGGGGAGAGAGGTAGAGGGGAGTTCTGGGGGTCTCCCCCAGCAAAATTTTAAGGCACTGATTGTTACAGTTGCGTGGGCATGCTTATTGCTGTATAATTATGTACGGGTGGGCACCGCTGGTATGAGGGAGCGACAGCGAAATTGGACAGTTCCCGGAATCGAGGAAATCGCTGCAATCGGAAATGACACAGGAGTGTGCTTGCACGCAAAAAGAAACGTTGCTTTGAATTTCATTACGATTTTCCATGTATATAGTCAGAAGCAAATGGTGATCTATTTATTTTTGGATTGACACTATTTTGACAATGGCGGGTAAATATAGGAACATTTTCACAACGGCGTTGTTAAATTTGACAACGGCGGTGCGCCGCAGTGCCTCCAATGTAGAAGAAACCCTGATATTATAGAATCTAATCATATTACATGTCGACGAGAATAAATTATCGTAGTGATTGCATTTTGCATGGGACACAAAGCTAGTTACATCGGGGACCGCGCTGAAACACGAGTAATTGTGAAATGTGAGAATGTGAACCAAGGAGCGATGCAAACCTGTCACAATTTCTGACATTAACATTCTGTATGCAGGCCAGTTAACAATCGACTAATTAATCTGCAGGAGTTCTACAATAAAATCGGGCTGTCACTGTGAGATATTTAACACCAAACCTCTTAGACTGACAACATTCCGGTCTTTAATGTGAAAATCAATCTCAGAGCCTGCTAGTACGGTGTTGTGAACCCCAGAGGCCTGCACGCAGTATAAATTTATCATTATATCATTTATATATCACGGCATCGTCAAAGTACCTGCGCGTGTGCACCTTGATGGTTTCCGTGCAGCCTGATGCGTCGATGTGCCAGCCGCTGCCGTCGTCACGTCGCGTGCAGCCGTACCTACAGTGCACGAGCAGCTCGCCTATCTGCTCAGACACGGCTATGTTCGCAACGACCACCGACAGCTTGCTGTTGTCAACGGGACACACGTCTGCAAGTGACACGCTCAAGGTTATTCACGCTCTCTTCCACCGACCGTTGGTCAGCGGGTGTTGTCGCACAGCCATCCGTGATCACATCTGACCACTTATTGATGGGCAAGCACGTCCACCATGTCTGGTGAGACATATTTCTGCCGACTGCTAATTGCACCATAAGGGAAAAATTATCATTTGTTTGCGCATATTGCAAAATTTTGGTTCACACGCATGGTAAACATATATCTTACACCATCCACATGCGTCCTAAACTGAGGGGTTTGTCTGTTAAGCTCAGCCACAAGTAAAACCTCTCCAACGAAATACTGAACTGGATATGGCGCAACAGTTCTGACTAGGGGTGGGACGATGTTGGTAGCTCACAATACAAGCCGTATCACGATACACATTTCATGATATGATCCGCATCATGATACACCTTTTTTCCGATATGATATGCATCACGATACATCTTGCACAATATGATACATATCGCGTTACTTTCAAGAGAAACTAGGTGTATAGCAAACTATACACTTAACTGGTACTCAACCAATCATGGGAACGCTTACAAATCAGTACCATGAAGCGCTTAGTAAACAGCTCCTATTAAATTGCATATTGTATCACGGTGCTTTTGTCTTTTGATGAAACTACGCTACTAAATTATATGGATTTCATTCAGTATAGTATTTATACGTTTCATAAACGGTCACACGTGGTCAAGGTATGTATGGTGATACATCAGTATATCGATGAATCTTCCCACCCCTAGTTTTTACCTCCATGCTTTTTGCTGGTGACACACACGCGACAGAATGTGTGCTGCAAGAGAATAAACAAGAGTGCTATACAACAACAAAGGTTAAACAAGCAAAGCACATACAAACTTTAGATTTTTTGGATTCTGAATGACTGCTATAAAATGAGACCCAAAATGATATTTTACATTTCTAGTACCGTATATGATCGCGTAATAACCGCAAATTTGGCCTCAGATTTCAACCCTGTATTTGCTCTGCGGTTTATAAGTGCGCCATACCGTGAGGGGAAATATTTGTTCATCGATCGTTGCTGAGTCTTGTCCCTCGCGGGGGCGATAATTGGTGAATCTAACGTTCATTAAATAAATGCATAAATCGTGTTTGCCTAAATGTTTTGATAATGTAGTACGGTATTAACTATGATTGAAATATTTTTTCCCAAATTCAAATGTTATAAATAATTTATTAAATTGCCAACAGATGGCAGCACTTCGGAAAAAAGCAATCATTTCATATCAAAGCAGCGAAGCGGATCGGTCGTCAATTACCCGGTACCATAAATGCTTTGTCTAGCGAAAGTGTAAATTTGTATAAGGAGTCTTCAAACATGTCATGATGTGCTCATAATCTGTGTGCGGTTTATACCTGAACTAGGCGCAATACTTGGTTACCCGATTCAAATTGAGGTGCAGCTTATAGTCGCCCGCGGTTATTACGCGATCATATACGGTATAATAGCAAAGGTCACACCATACCAGGAACTTATTTACATCTGCTAACACTAGCTAAATTTCGAAACATGACTCGAGATTTTGTTTCACAATTGCAGCTATTCTGTTTACATAGGGAGTGGCGCAGCATGACATGCAAGTTGATTGCAGCAACCAACACTCCTGTATTGATACCATCTTTGCAAACTCACCCCACAGATGGTTATTACTGGATCTTTATATACATTGCTACACAAGGTACAGAAAAGCTTCTTGTTTGGCATCTCCACGAAGCATAGTGGCCCAACCTGTAGAACACAGACAGAAATACAAACATAACTATTGGTCAACATAAGTATTACTACTGCAATAGAATGATATCTCTTGGACCCACCAAGAGTTCATCTGATAATATTTTTAGAACATTCACTCTTTCCTAAAGCGAATATTTACTTACATCATCATCTTCATTAATGTGGCTGTATCCAGGATCATGCCTGCTAGGTGACATTAGTGGCTGTAATGCATACAGATGTCAGTATAAGTACAATACAATACATTATTTGTACAAATGATCTACTTATCTATATACATCTATATATATATATATATAACACATAAAAAAAATAGGTAAAGGGTGTTTGAATTTTAATCAGCAAGCTTTTGAGATGTACATCTCTTCCACTTCTTCTATATATATATATAAATATATATATATACAATGATACATCAAAAAGGTAAAACAAGAGAAAACCACGTATGTGGTGGAAAAAAAGTGAATCTTACTGTTATATTAATCCTATTCACATTTCATCATAAATTTAGGCCTACAATACAAATACAGCAGGAGCAAAATCCACCTTAATGATTAGAATTATGCTGACTCATACATAGGAAAACATGCAAATTATAACAAGCATTAAATGGCCACAAATACCAAAAGAAGTAGTGAGCTGTGACTAACCTTCTCTGTCTTGCTACCACTGTTTGGTGAAGAGTCAATTCCCGAATCAGAACTGACATCTGGTACAGAAATGAAAAGCAACTTTTAAACTAATTAAAAACAAGTGAGCATATAACATATACCATCATAATTTTTTTTATCATTCCTTAAATAGTATTTTTTCATGGAAATTCACGTGTTGTTCTATAACAAATGGTTACTTATTCCTGCATGTACCTTGAGGATGTTGTTTACAGATCAGAGGTGATTTCTGCATGTCATATCCGTTCACCTGAAAATTACCTCAATTCAGTAATGAGCACATTTTAATTTCCAAATTTAAAATTAAACTAGAGCCGCAGAGCTCAGTTGAAGTCTGTTGCTATGCTTATAAACTCTAAACTTCATTCGTGCGTAGTAATACGTTTGTTAGGCCCAAATGTGTTCGCATATGCGCTGAAACATTTGAAGGCATGAGGATGGTAGCAGTAACCTTTGTGAATTGGGTGGGGACATTGATTTGACATGCCGAGTCCTTTTCGCGATCCCCCCTGATGTCCCGAATATCAAGACCGTACGTCGAGCGGTTAAGATTTGTGCCATCACTGTTGACGGACAGACGCACACACGGACGTATGGACGGACAGCCATTCATGCGATTCTACAAGCTGCAACTGACTTCGTCAGATGAGCTAACAAAATTCATATTTCAATTTCTACGTTGTTAGCCCCTTGTAACTGTAGAAATCTACCATAATAACCATGTCTCAAGAGACAGCACAGTAATGGCCCTTGAGTTAAATTATGCTGTTATCACCAGTTTATTTATATGTGATTCATGCCTAATTGTATTCCTTCCCAGGGGTTTTCCCAAGAATTTCAGAAGGCATGCTGGGCAATTAGGCAACTCATCCCAAATTGCTAACTCGAGTCGATTACACGTGATCAGGCGTTAATAATGACAAATTGTCATTATGACATTTGTCATTATTAACCCCTGACATAATGTAAACAGCCTTCCAATACACAGATAAACTTGATCAGTTCAGAGACATACACACATCAAACTGTGAACATAATTTAACAGCATGACCATGATGTAACTTTCAAACCTGATCATAGCTGGCAATTAAGATGTGCCAGAGAATTTATGGGATGTCACAAATTAGCTTTAGCTGAAGGCATGTCAGACCCAACATGTGTTAAAAATCTGGGAGATTCCTGCTTTCAGTATTAGTTCAATGTTAAAACCTTAGCTAAGAATCCCAAAAGGGAATGACCACCTTGTTCATATGGGTCATTAGCATCAGTAAAACTGTAAAATATCACAAAATCATCATACCTACTGATACTATATAATGGCCGATAAAGTAGTAAACACCCATGCAGTGGTATTCTTCTTTTTACCATTATAATATTAATATAGACATACCTTAAATTCGTGGCTGTACTAATGTTAATACTTACAACGCCAACTACTTCAGTCTGTGACGGCTGTTTCCCTTTCACTTGGCTGGATGCAACTGTTGGCATACCAGCTTCTGAATACCTTGCTGCCATCTCGTATAGTCTTTAGTTAGCCGGTACACCTATTTGACGTAGGAAGCAATAGCTGTTGTTGTGCGATTTCCAATCAATGATAAAAAGCTTGAGCATACAGTACATAGTACAGCCCATAGGTGTTTCCTACAGTAATTAACCTCAGCAGTGTAAAAGTGATTTGTGGGCTATAGTAATAGGCATAATAGCAATGTATAGGTAAAATAATAGAAAATGCGAGCAGCTCCTTTATTCCTATGAAATGGCATCTATGGATGGATCTAGAGATTGGAACAAAGTATATCATATTTTAAGTCAAGCATGGGTCATAGCTCCAAGAAACACTCACACATACAATTTGTATTAACATTAGCTTCGCAGCCTGGTCAGGCCAAGTCTAACCCGACAAGTTTATGTGCACAAAATTTCGCCTATATATGTACATATATATATACAAACATATTTCTAGCATGCATTCATCTTTCAAGCCTTATTTGCAAATGCACATAATCCTATTATAACAGTTAAGGGTACTATGTTACATCATGCACAACACTTACTTAGTATACTATGCTATACGTGTCGATTTCTGATAAACTAAATTTCTTGCAGAAGTGTGATCTAGTCGTGCAATCATCTGCATTCCATAACGGGGTCAATTTGACAATTTTGTGATCTAAAAGTGTGAAAATGGTACTGCTCTACGTTCCGAAATTTGGAGAAGGACAAAGCAACACTACATAAGCTTCAGACATTCCTCAATAGCTGCCTGCGCAAAATCCTCCGTGTACATTGGCCAGAGAAGATCTCAAATGAAGAACTGTAGAAAACAACAGACCAGGAACCAATCGCTACACAGATCCTGAGAAGGAATTGGAGCTGGATTGGACACTCCCTCAGGAAGCCTGCGAGTAACATCACCAGGCACCTGGAATCCACATGGAAAGAGGAAGAGGGGAAGGCCAAGAAACAGGTGGCATAGAGACACCCAGGCAGAAATGCAGAGAAGCGGTCACTCCTGGAGGGAAATGGAAAAAACAGCCGAGGGTCGACTGCGCTGGTGGAGCGTCGTCGATGGCCTATGCTCCTCATGGGGCTAAAGGGTTCAAGTAAGTAAGTGATCTAAAAGTGAATTTCTATCCGGTCGGCTAAAGAATACGAGTTTATGTTGCAGGATAGGGAGATTGTTAATTGTGCCACTACAGTGTTGCCGCCCAAGCCAAAAACATTCTTCTCAAATTCTAGACACATGTTGTAATATAGCCCTGTAGCCAGAGCGAATGAGGTACATGGGTAGAGCTAAGGCTGAGCCAGGCCTCAGGTGGAGTAAGGTCGCATAGTTCACTAGCGATTTAGTTGTGTGCATGATGATGGTCAGAAAGATCATGGGCCCAAACTACTAACAGTTAATACTAATAATAGCTTAGTATGCCATGTACTGTATGTATGTACCAGTCACGATACCCGTAGCAGAGTAGCCCAAGGTTCACACATCGGTATAGCCTATAGCATATAGGCATAGGGACTAGCCATTACTAATACTAGTTACACATTAGTGGCGCCGAGAGGGTCTATGTCCCCCAGGGTACTGCCGGACCGTAACTCGCCTACTCCACTAACGAGTCTAGGGAGTCGCCTATGCCTACTCCCTAACCCTAACCATATCAAATACTTACCAGGGTACGTTCCGGTATACCGGACCATACCCAGGGTACGTTCCGGCAGTACCCTGGGGGACATAGACCCTATGAGCATTAGTGGCAATAGCAATGAGAATCGCTTCCCTAACCGGATCTATGAGTATGACTATGAGTATGAGTATGACTATGAGTCAGTATGACGAACGCATGCGACTTTTAAATATGCGGTTCAACGTGGTCGCACATAAATAACTATCAGTACTAGCCTGTAGTACCTGGTGTTGTGAATATTTAATCTCCATAGACCGAGTTACGACGACGAGTATATCATCACTCACTTGACTTCAAACTCACTTGACTCACGCCTACAAAACCTATGAAAACGCATCGCAAAATAGCGACCGACAGGGTTGCCGGAAACGTGTAAGTGCTGCCCCCTGGAGTTTCTTACAAGAACTAATCCTTATCTCGCAACATGACCGGTTCCCGATTGTGTGACCGGTCGGATAGCCATGCACTTCAAATGGGCTTTGGGGAAAGGGGATCGATCTATTTATGTGACAATATTTGGTCAACATCACTCGTGTAACGCCTAATGGATTGGGATCGGTCGCACACACACTACACACACACACACACCCACACACACACACACACACACACACACACGCACACACACACCACACACACACACACACACACGCACAACACACAGATACCCCCCCCCCCACACACCACACAGGATACAACGCCCCCCACACACACACACGTGACACACAACACCCACACACACACACACACACACACACTACACACCAACACACACACACACATCACACGCAGCACACACACAGATACACCCCCCCCCCACACGACACACACATAACAACACACACACACACACACACACGACACAACACACACACGACACACCACACCCACACACACACACACACACACTATGCACCCACACACACACGACACACACACACACACACACACAACACACACACACACACACCACACACAACCACACACACACACACACACACACACACACATCACACACACCGCGCGCGCGCGCGCGCACACACACAGCACAACACACACAACACATACCCACACACATACACACCAGAACAACAACAACAACAACAACAACAACAACACGCCGCTCTACTTGCCGACTTGCAGAAGCAGTGTATAGACTTCGCCATCAACGCGAAGCCGCTGGCGCGCTACATGCCGCAGGACAAAAGCTCGATCCGCTACCGCATCTGGAAGCTGGTCGTCTCGTCGGTCTTCGAGTGGCCATATAATACACATTACATACATTACATATTACATTACATATTACATATACGCACACAGACACCCACATTTATATAAATCTAAACACATATTCATTCAGAATACAACATAATAGATTTATTGTTCTCCTATCTGCTATATGTTGTTAAAATTGTATTTTTTTAAATATTTTTAAATGTGCTAAGTGAAGGCTTTCTTTTTGTGTCTATTGGTAGTTTATTCCATTGGTTTATTGCCTCCTTAGTGAGCGAGTTGTGTCCATACATATTATTTGTGTCTAATTCTGGATTAAATCCCTATGTCCCAGGTTGGGACACGGCCAACCCAGAAGCCATTTGGCTAATGCCGTGATACATTTTAGAAATAATAATAATAATAATAATGATGATAATAGTGATAATGATAATAATAATAATAATGTGTTATTATGATTACTATACTATAGTTAGGGGTTTAGAGATTTACATATTTCATGATACTAATAAGAATGTAAAAAATCACAACAAAATTAATTGAAATATACATCTAAAACTCGTGACGTATGGTAATTAAATCAATGCTCTGCTGTGTTGTAATAACATAATTAATATGTAGAAAAACAGAATAACAGTGTGTGATTTATGTCTGCTTTATTTCACTCTATCAGCGATTCTCCCAGCGACCTCGAAGAGAATCAGCTCTACAGCAGAGCATCTTCTGCGTGTTGCTGGCCCGCACCAGAGGGCGCTGCTTCCAGCGGCTGAACCAACTCGTCTGCCTGGTGTCCACGCTGCTCTGCGTGCATGTCTACCTGCAAAGCGTGCAGCCAGACTTCCTAGCGATGGCCGTAGAGGAATGGCGTGACGACCTACCGAGTCTGCAGCTGTTGTTTATCTGCGTTGTTGTCAGCGCTGCCGTAGCCTTGCTCTTCATGGGAGTGGAAGCCATCTTTGCTAACTTAAGCAGCGGAGCGGGAGAGGTTGTTGCCTCGGCTTGTGGAAGCACGAAGATGACACGTAGAACACCAGGTGAGATGTCAACCGCCCATGCAGGCTGAATACTAGCGACTAGCAGCATGATTACTGCACACTGAGTGCACAGCCTTGAAATAAACGTGTGATCTTTAAATACAGGTTGTCATTGTTATATTCGTATATGTGGTCGCACATTCCCGTAGGCTACATTGTTATATTCGTATATGTGGTCGCACATTCCCGTAGGCTACATTGTTATATTCGTATATGTGGTCGCACATTCCCGTAGGCTACATTGTTATATTCGTATATGTGGTCGCACATTCCCGTAGGCTACATTATTGTGTTTTAATCATTGTGAACCTTAAGTGGGGATTAATGGATGTAATCATAGTGATATGTCTTTGTAGATAATTGAGCAATTACATGGTGCGATTTATTTTATACAGGCATGAACAAACCAAGTGACATCTTTTCCCCAACGAGCAGCTGCAGACAGCTCTTAGCAAGAGTAGACGTGGTAAACGAGGATGTTAGCACATCAAACAACAATAATAACAAATGCAAGGGGGATGTCATCTCACCTACATCAACACTGATATCCAGACTTTTCTCTCCAGACAAACTTAGCAAGGTGCTGAGAATCGACAAGCTCACAGCGACGCAAAAAACCGACCTTATTGACGTTATTGAAGCGTATCGCCCGACGGGCGTCGTGATGCGACGCAATAAGAAGCTTGAGTGTGTCGATGCGGACACGGCACTCAATGTACTACGCACAGCTACACCTGCGCATACGCCCAACAAACCATGTCATGATAATCCACAGTGGTAAACTCGCAAATTTGCTTAATCCGGATTAGATCGCAACTTGCCTCTAGCTTGTTTAATCCCGCGAATGCTCCGGCTACAATGTTATTTAGATTGTTCTTAAATAGTCCCAAGAAAGTTATGACGTCTGTGTTTTCGAAGGCCCCAGCATCGATGCGGCTGATGTTATTATATCTTAGATCGACAGAGCGGACTTTTCTCAAACCGGAGAAGGTGCCCGCTTCGAGCGCGTGCAGGTTATTGTATTTCAGCATCATCGTGTAGAGTTGTCCCATTTCGGCAAAGAGCCCCGGTTTGATGAACCCGCTTTTGTTATGCGACAAGTCCAAGTACTGAAACAGTTTAGGGATGAAATCGGCTTAAGACGGGGCAATGGTGCAGTAGCCACTAAATTTTGAAAGCCACTAATGTTTTGAAATGCGAGTGTGAGATTGCGGTTGGACGAACGATAGAAAAAGCATCACGCGATCGTGGTAATAAACACACTGTGAAGTTACTAACACTCCCACGGCAGCTCATGGCGGTTAAATGAATGTGTACCTCTAGTGTTGACAGACCTCCCAGCGCGTTGGGTGCAATGGTAGTGAGTGCGCCGAATTGTAGAAAGAGCCTAAGTAGTTGCCTGAAGGAGGAGAATATTCTTTCAGGCAACGTTGTGAAGCGATTGTAGCTGAGATCCAGGAATTCTGAAGATAATAATAGAAATTAACATCCGTGTCACATCGAGATTCGCCTGAAATAATTGTCATCTATCTTTACTCCTTCCTTTTTTTCATCAGGACAGAGCTCTCTTGTGTTTTCTAAATTCCTGTTTCAATCAGTGAATACAGTCGCGGGATATATATAGTTGGGGGAACGAGGGTGTCTATTACCAGTATCCCAGGTAACAGAATATATCCCAATTTCTAGGTAAACAATTACATACAAAAATATGCCAGTTCCCAGTTAAATAAAATCGCAACCACCCCTATGTTAAATCTTAAAAGCATCCTAATTTTAAGCATTTATCCGGCATTACCCGGCTACCAGATAATTAAAAATGGCCCAATTCCGCGCCCCCAAAATAATATAAACCACTCCAGTGCTCTTGAGATTAAAAGAAATTCCTTAAAAACGACTACAGCACTTGCCTCTCTAAGCGGTGACTGCACGCAATGCCGCCGCACGGCCACGGGAACTACACGGAGCACATACCGACATGGCTGACAGAGGGGAAGATCACCGACGGCTGCTCGGTCATCCCAAGCGACGTCAGGATCAGCTCTATCAGGCCGCGTATACCCGCGAACGACTGCGCATTCATCGTCGGTCGGCTAGAGGAGCTGATGGTCAGCGAAAATATCTCCAGATCGCTGAACATGCCTGCCAGTATCTCGGTCAGGTCGGCGAAGCCGATGATCTGAAGGCGACTCATCGTCGTGTACTGCAAGCGGCCAACGATGGCCGTCATCTCATGCCGCCGACATGTGCGAGCCGGAGCAATAGACGCTCACGCTGGCGTTCTCATAGTCGCGGGTGCATTCGCATGGAAAAATTCCATCCTTCTCTGGGCAGAAGCTCGCTGCTTGTGCGGCCGCCGTCAGCAGCAACAGGAGCGATGGAAGAAACTGGAGCCACATCTTCGTGTCAGCTAGCATCAGAGTGTCTTAACTCACCTGCGTCTAACTCTGGCAGAGGGGCAGTATTACACATCGCAACATGATGCAGCATCTTTACTAATTATATCCTTATCGGGTTCCAATAGTCATTGAGTATTTACTGATGATAACAGAGATAGTAATCCGAAATGTCTGTTAACCCTATCGTAAGGAAGCGGTGTATTCTATTAACCATATTGTAAGTAATCAGTTTTTCTGTTAACCATAATGTGAGGAATCAATATGATTATTTGGTCAACCCTATTGTGAGCGAATGGGAAGTGACCTAGTGTTCTCGTGAGCTTAAACACTGTCCATGTCAGCTCTCACTGTACTATCTTGCGTTTCTAGAATGTCACCTTATAGCGTTTTTAACGCCGAGCTGTTCTTCTTTTACTGTGAGTGAGTTTAAGGCGTGAGATCAAGCAGCTGCTAAGGCAACATAGCATGAACTAAATCGATGTCCCTAAGAACTAGTGCAGGCATGATTTCCTACAAACCTCTCTATTTCCGTAGTAAGTGCCGAATAATACCGTAAAAAATATGCATCTCTATCATTTCTTACATATCATAATCTTCTATCATTCTAATGCCGTATCACTAGCATATGTTTATGAATGTGAACATGTTTCAACCAGACGCTCGTGTCAGTTTATTCATAGTCGAACGTCACGGGCGTGAAGTTGAACAGCTTATACGTAGCAACGATAGATATAGCTTTTCAGCATACTGTGGCGTTAGCTCCAAGAAACGGTATCGCTATGGTTAGGATACCCGTCTGGATGTATAGACAATCCGTATAGGATGTATAGACAATCCGTCGCACAGCCTGGTCGGGCTAACTGTGGCGTGAGACCGTCTGCATCTGTGCCATTTAAAAAAAAATAATGAGTTATAGGTGGCAGTTGGATCTACAGGTGATTCGTTGTTTAGGAGATTATGCATTAGTCTATAAATTATAATATTAGACCGTGGATGTGTGACTTACCATTTAGTTAATCATAAACATCGCGTGCATATCTTACAGTCGTGCGGTTGATGGACTCTTGGGAATATACTTAACAAATAACAGTAGCGCTACGGAGAGGCCGCTGCACCCGCTCTCATTACTTGCGAAAACAGTGACGTATACATAATGCTGACATTATCACTTATTTTTACTTATTCCTGCTAAAATGACGAACCTATGTATATTAAATAACGACAAAAGTATCAATACTCGTTTTAGCATACATACTGTTAAGTGATAGTGGGCATCGTTGGAAACTATTGGATTCTGTAAACGGTGGTTGAATGAAACCACGGCATTTTTATCACCTGCTTATTCTGTAATATGTCATCAACGTAATTTTTAACCGATCACCGGCATCGAACCCGCGCGTTCTTTGTGCTAAGCTCTCGTAGAAATATAATTAGCAAAATGTTTGTTATAATGATGTCTTTTTTGATTTCCTATTTACGAAGATTTTCGTGGGTTGCAAGCCTAAAAGTACATCTGCCGCGTATCATTTTTTTAAATAATGTTGGGACGTTATGATATCCGGTGTTCTCTGGGATATGTGGAGATATCTAGGACATTGGTTTTCAGGTGTTCAGTGCGAGCGCTAAATATTCAATCTCATATTTAACATTGGTATTCTTATCATTTCCTGCACCATTGCACTATGTTTTTCCCCGTTATTTTGCCGATGTATGTGCTTGGTATTTGAGCAATCAAATTAATCGAAATTTGAGTTTCAATTTAAAATTACTCGCTCAATAGTCTGCAGTATAAAGTTTAATCCACTACGTGGCAGCACCATCCAATACTTGGTATGCTCTGATTTGTTATAGGCATACCCTATTCTTTAGCCTTGCTGTCTCAGGCGCTCAGTCGTTTTACAGACCATGCAGACCTATATACCCGTATCGTAACTCAAAATTATTGCACTGAATAGTTGCGGGGGATTTGTCTGTTCAGATTTAATTCGAACGACTGCACATGACCGGACAATGACCTCATAGACAAGAGAACCCTGATAAATGGTAACGTGGCACACCCATCGATTTAAAAAAATCTAATACCATGAAGATTATACTATTACCCCAATGAAAAAATTTAAAGTATGATGTATTGAGTACCGAAG